GCAAGTCAAAAGTGCGTATGGTTGAGATAAATGACACACCATATTCAAGAAATGTGTGGTTCTTCTTTAAAAAAAAAAGAATATACCAACCACAATGTACGAAGATTGGAGACATCATCACAAGTAATTAAGTGATGTTTTAATCAGGGGGAGTACAATACGCGTTGCACTCTTTTTCCCTTGATCGAGGTTTTTTCCCACTGGGTTTTCCTGGCAAGGTTTTTAATGAGGCAATAAATAGTGCGTAACAAAAGATATGTGTACTCTTTTTTCCTTCACTAGAATTTTTTCCCACAGGGTTTTTCCTAGTAAGGTTTTAACGAGGCACATTATCTATGAACATCCAAGGGGGAGTGTTATAAATACATTGAATTAAGTGGATTGTCCATTAAGCTTATCATCAACTTATCCTTATCATGGATATGTATTCCCAAGGTGATGAATCTTTTTAAGATAGAAATGTATCTACTAATGTGACATTAAACATGATGACCTTTTGGTTGATTTCTCTACCTATAAATAGAGATATCATTCACCATTGTAATATACACTTGAATAAGAAGAAAATTTCCCTTCTTCTATCTATCTCTCTTGTCTTCTTCTCTTTATGATTATATTCTTATGAGCTTGATTTTATAACAAAATTGCAATTTTAATATTTTTTCATAAGATTTTTAGTTTGCTCAAAGCAGTGTTCGAATCGTTAAAAAAAATAGTATATCATTTTAAAAAAAATTATCCCAAAAAAAAAATAACAGCCGACAAAAATTTCACTTCACAATACAGTAAATTTTCGTTATAGTGATGGTGTTTGTTTGAAACATGGTTGCTATAGTGAGGCAACTTTCGTTTTTTGTTTAGATCTCATTTAATTGTTATTAATAGAACACAAAAAAAAAATTTACATCATTTGTGTATCAAGAAGAAGAAATGTATTTGTTAACCAATAGAAAGACTAGGAATGTAAAAATGGCGAGCTAATAACTTTTTCTCGTGAAATTATAATCATAATTGATGGACATCATTTAAATATAATTCACATTATTACTATTGGTATGAAATATAAACATTATTTTCGAAAGACACTAGAATACAAAGGTATATCAATTATATATGGATGGATGAAATAAGGAGTAGAAGATGAGAGCTGACTTTTATGACTTTTTTTTATGTATTTTTAATGATGAGCATGCACGGAGGCAACTCTTTTAGAGAAAAAACAGAAAAGTTAAATAAATTTATAAGCAACATCTTCTCAACGAAGCAAA